GACCAAGAAGAAGAAATGAGAAAAAAAATCCGCTATTAAGTTATCCACTAAGAGTGCTGATACTGTAGAAGACCAAAACATAAGTGAGAACAACTTTATTGGTTCTTATCATTCTATGGAAAACTACTTCAAAAGAATCGTATACCTATTGAGCCTATTTTTAAGCATGGAGGTTATAAATCGGATGACTATTATCTAAAGCAAGACGCCCGTGAAGGTGAGTTCAAAGTGATTAATTATCGCTCGAAACGTGAAGCTACTAGTTTGAAAAATGATATTGATTATGTTGCTACGCAGAGCTCGATATTACAGAAGGTTAAAGCTGAACATCTTGATGTTGGAACAACGGAAATGGATAAAATCATTCATGCTGATCATTCAGTTATCGACCTCAGAGTCATGTTATATATCAGGGGGCAAACCGCTTATATTCACTTCCTCAATTGGTACAAAGCAAAGGGTGATAACCATCAGTTTGGTATTAGAGTCATAAATCAAGCTGATGCTAATAACGAAAGACGTAGTACGCACCCTCTTGCAACTGGGAAATATAAAACAGACTTAACCCTTTCGCGAGCCACTTTAGTAAACTATAGTATACAAATATAGGATAGTCGGTATCAAAAGGAGGCATTTTGCATCCTTTAAGGCGAGTGATGGACCACCTTCAAATCTTCCAAATGTGATTTTCTCGGTTTTTCTATGCCCATAACGACCTGTTGTAAACGTACTTAATTGTAAAAGGAGGCATTTTGCCTCCTTTAACATGGATACATCGTCGTACTTAGTTGAAAACCAGGAAAAGGGGGCATTTTGCTTCCTTTTATCGCGAAAGAGTTAACCCCGTCCCTCCCGACGTCTTAAGTTACGCCATACGAAAAAAAAAAAACTATGTCGTACCTTACGACGTACGTCGTGTGACAATAGAAAATGGCTCGGGCAATACTTCAATCAGTATATTTTCAAACTGATAAGATGCGAGAGGTCACAGGGAAAGTGAACAGAGACACAACAGGGGTAGGGATCAGGAAAGAGATACGGCTCAAAAGGATACGCAGATGCGGAAGGCACAACTGCCAGTCATTCTAGAATTTGCAAGATGACGCGCATCCGGGCCAGTGCCCGTGGAAAAACAGACGTGGTAGGCGCAGTGGCTCGAGACATTGACTTCCGCCATTTGTGGCGTCAGCTTCGCGGGGCCGGATGGACGTCCAAGCGACCCCGTGGCATGCAGACTCAATGGAGGTGTGTGAGTCCTGGTGGTGTTCATTCGTTTGTTGGTGAGGACGCCGTTGTCGTCCATGCTATTGAATCTGGACTGCTATACGTTGACGATGTTGAGAGCGAGGTTGACGCGGTGGGCGATGGCGTTGAAGCGGCTGAAGTTGTGGCGATTGGCAATGAAGGGAGGGCAGAAGCTGATGCAGATGAAGACATCTGTCCATCCCAGATTGACACTAGTGCTCAACTCTCACAGAACACACTAATTGAACTCTTCGGGTCTGAGAGTGACTCAGAGGTTGATCTCTCGCAGGCCGCTGTGACCAGAGCCTTTGACATCTCACCTGGTGACCTTCATGCAGCAGACTCCCAGCGAGATTGTGATGCCAACCTACAACTACTATCAGAAGTTTCAGGGGCTGAGAGCGACGGTGCCCGAGTAGATGCTGCTGCTGTAGAGCCGACCCGGGCTCTACGACCGCGAGTTCATGTAAAGAAGGACGTCAACTACGTTCCCGAGGACGAGAACCTTAGTGCCTACGAAAGCTTCAGTTCTGACGAAAGCGAGAGTGGCGAAATCGTGGAGGAAGACGACAACGCCGTCCCTATTGGAAGCGAAAGCGATGAAGACGTTACGAAGAACGATGCCGCGGAGATGGACAATGCGTTGGTGCAGTCGCTTCAGATCGGAAACGGCACATTGCCGGTGAGCGCAACGTAGCAGCGGTCTGCGGCTTTACGAGGAATGACCTGGTCTCTCGCGTCGGGGTCATTCGAGGAAGACGTACGTCCCTACCCGAGGCTCAACATGGAAGACTCGGAACCAGTCGTTGAGTTGCGCAGCCAGTGTTACTCGCCACTGTTGACGCTCTTTTTTTCCTCCCGAAATCGTTGTGGGTAAGAATCACTGAGGAGACAAACCGGTACTGCCAGCAAAACATCGAGAGACGCGCCCAAGCCGTCCTTGCCCAACATGGACGTCGTCAGAAAGAGACACTGACGCAAGTACGCCGCCGATTGAAGGCGAGAGCTGGCTATCAGACACACGAAGTAATGCATGTCCTTGGCCTTCTCATCGCTCGAATGCTGTGCCCCCAAAGGAGAAGTTTTGCAGCTCACTGGTCAATAACGGAGGACGGTGCGGTTCCAGCAGGTAACTTCGGGTGGTTCATGGGACGCAACAGATGTCAGGCGTTTCTCCGAGACTTATACTTCGTAGATAACGAGGCAGATCGCACACGAGACAAACTATGGAAACTTTGTCCAGTTATCGACAAGCTGCAGGAGCGGTTTCTTGCTGGCTGGACTCTCCCTGCTGTGTTCTCCTTCGACGAAGGGGTGCTGCCTTCAACTTCTAGGCGCAACCCTACTCGCATGTTCATGCCCGATAAGCCTCATCGGTACGGGTCGAAATGTTTATGCTGTGTGATTCGAGAACCGCCTACTGCCACAGGTGCGTCTGATTGTTTTTTTTTTGCTAATGTCGTAAGTGACGGGATCGGTACTAATATCTGATTGACTATGTCGTCACTTACTAGATTTGAGATGTATCCTGGAAAGCGTAACGTAGGAGAAGGTGGAGACACTTCATATCATCACAAGACAGGAGCTGCGGCAGTCGTCCAAAACATGAAGATGGTACTGGAGTCAAAACAGCGTTACCCATGGCATCTCGTTGTTGTGGATCGTTTCTAATCATCGATTCTACTGGCGATTGAGTTGCTGAGTATGAGTGTCTACGTGGTTGGGACTATAATGTCCGATAGACTGGGATTTGACAAACAAGTAAAAGAGCAGCGGAAAATTAGACCTGCGGCTATTCCTCGAGGCTCCTTCCTGTTCTCCCGTACGACGGCAGTCCCAAACATCGTTGCGATCCATTCGTGGGATCGCAAACCGGTGCACTACATATGCACCAGCTCCTCCACGGCAGTCTCGTCGATCCAGAGGAATGTGAAGCCAGTTTGGCAGGAAACGGTCCCATGCCCGGCAGCTGTCAATGATTACCAGCGCTGAATGGACGGCGTGGACGTACACGACCAACTCCGTCTCCAGCGATTCTGATTGCAGGCGTCTACGAGGTTTTCCAAGTATTACAAGTGTTTGTTCTTGGGGTTTGTGGATTTAGCGCTAGTGAATGCGTATATTTCGAACAAGGAGACAGCACGGCTGGCAGGTACACCTGCGATGTCTCATGGTGACTGGTTTTGCATTCTACAGAACAAACTTCTTCTGCTGAAGGCAGCAGACTTTGCTGGTGTGGATGTGACGCCGCCTGCCAACTCCCAGGAGCGCAGAAGGACACCTGTTCGGCTTTCACATGCGCTTGAGAAGTAAGAAGATTGGGTGACGGTGAGTGGCGTACAGAAGCGCCGACAGCGATCCTGTAAGGTATGCGCGCTGCTGCGAAGCAACCCGAAGAAAAAGTCGTACGCCACCACGTTTTACTGTGAGCGCTGCTCTGTTGACTCAGCAAAATGCTGGCGGTGCAACAAAATCCGCCACAGGTTTAAAGGTGTTTTTAAGACTTGCTTCGCGATCTGGCACGAAGACTTCGAGTGCGGTCAAAGCATTCCAGTAACATTGGGCAAGAAAGTTGTTCTTCACCGACCTGGACAAGTGGCTGGGGAGCAGAAGAAAACGCGCCGAGAACTCGAGCTACACGAGGCCGATGCAGAAGGTGAGGAATGTGAAACTGATGAGGTATAATTAGTGTGCGTGCGCATCTGTAATGGTGTAATAAGCATCGTCCAAGATGATTGCTTGTTCTAGGCAGGCTCTAAGTATAGTTTATTGCGCTGATGCGCATTCTTTGTTGGTATGGCAGGATTCATTGTACAACTATGTTCGCCTTTCTTTTCATGACCTGGGGCAAGTTACGACATTAAGAACAGTAACATCCTACGTATGTTGTATAAGTGACGGCTTTGCTCAAGAAACCTGTTGAGAACTTATACGTCTTCTTGTATGAGGTTATGCACCCCATATTGAAAAGAAGTAAATAGCTATGGCGTATGTTACGACATTAATGTACCGTGAAGAACGTGTTTGGTGTCCCAAATTCGGGAGTGAAGGGGTTAATGTCTAAGATTGAGTGGGCAAGCTCGTTAGACATTCTGTATGATGCTATGTTCATGTTGCATGAACAAGGTGATCTCCATGATGATGTCAAGCCACAGCTACGGCCACAAAATCTTGTCGAAGAGAAGCGTATTGATAACAGCGTTAAACTATTCTATAGCATTATCAATGGTAATGCTGTTAACCCTTTTAGCGCGAACCCTTATTCTGTATAATACAGAATAAGAAACACCTTGATTTCACTATGGCAAAATGGCGGCAAAATTATCCCGTTGCAAGCCGTCCGCCATGGAGAGTGACTTTAAGTTTAAAAACGCTGCGATCGCAGACATAGGGCTTACTTTTGTGGTCATAAATGCTACAATGTATCCACCAACTGTAGAATCCCATGCTTCTAATTGGTCAGAAAACGATGTGTGGAGCATGCAGAAACTCTTTTTGTCGTTATCCCCCGAATCCGATTGCAATCTCGTTTTGGCGCCAGAGTGGCCCACCGGGGAGCGCGCCAAAATGTCTTAGCGCGTTCCCACACCAACTTTTCGGCCAGTTCTAGACTAGACGGAAGTGAAAGAAGGACTAAGATAGAACTTGGCCGAAAGGTTGGTGTGGCAATGCTCACGTGGAGGCTGCAAACAAAGAAGGTAAGCATCTGAAGCTACTTCATAAGCTACGCTACACTAGCTAACCTCAACGTGCTCTTACTCGTCTTCGCTGCGTTTATGCTTACGGAACCTGATGTTTTTCCTCAGGTGAGCAGGGATGGCGGTGCCGTTAGCCCAAGAGTCGTGCCAAATTTGGTCACAGGTTAGTCGGTTTCCTACTTCCTTCCAGCGCACGCAGTTGCAGAGGGGCACATATCCATTGTGAAGCTCTTCGCAGGCCTGGCAGAAAAAGCGACTCTCGGGTCCTTTCGTATTTGGTGGGGCCATAGCAGAGCAAATCTTGCAGGGATGCTGACGACGCTTATCCCGATACTTACGTGGTTGCTCTTGTAGGTGGTGTTCTGCGGGAGGCAGCGGTACTGACGCTAAGTCTTCCGCCTGCTTATTACTTGCCAAGCTTTGTGGGGTACGTGCTAGCAACTCGAGATGCAAGCGACGCATGTACTCTGCGTGGCTTGGTAGTGGCTTTCCATCTTTCTGCATTTTGATCTTGTGCACGATAAAGCCGTTTACAATGGCCATGTCGACGAAACCAAGAAAGAGATGCCGCATCGCTGGAGACGTAACTGGTCGTGGCGGTCGACC